GATCTGTTGCCTGGCCCTTGTCTTCTGTTGTTACATTACTTGCATTCAAAAGTGAAATTATTAACCCGACATTTTCATGGATTAAGCTTAAAACTATTTGATAAGGACCACTGACCAATTTCTGATAAAAAGCTATTCACTTTGGAGCAGTTACCGCTGGCAAAGAAACAGTCAGATCATCGGCGTACTTAACGAAACTGACTTCATCAGAATGTGGTAAGTCATTTAAGAAGAAAGAAAACAGGAAAGGAGAAAGAACAGCCCGTTGAGTGAGGAACTTCCGGCTAGAGTAGGTGAAGCAGTGGAGGACTTCCGATTGTAAACAGTGTACTGCCTCCTATCAGAAAAATAGGAATCAACCAATTATTAGTCCAGAACTGCGCTTGTGTCGCAGCTAGCTTGTTTAACAAAAGTGGTTTGGGTATAGAGTCAAAAGCAGATGTGTAATCTAGGTTTAAGACAATATTATGACAACAGCGGCATCTAAACTACACCTACTATGTTTGTAAGCAAGTTGATCAGAGTCATTAAAAGCCTTCAATGAAGGTTCGAGGTTAAGTAAAAGCAGTTTTTCCATTATTTTAAAAAGAAAAGGTTGAGTAATGGCAATAGGTGTGAACTTAACACTTGGTCCACTTGGTGACTGAGGCACGGGACCAGTTTTAATACCCCCCCCCCCAAGAGGCACACACAACGCCAGTGGAAAACGATCATTTGAAAATACACTAGTGAGAGTGAGTGAAATAAAATGTCAGCACATTTATTGAGTAGAATAGCCGGCACACCATGTGGACCAAGGGACTGGGTTGGTTTCAAGGATTTGAGACACTTAAGGAAATCGTTTGTGTTAAAATCGAAGAAGCAATCCTTATTTTCCTTTGTAGCATTTCAGATCATAACATCAGCTGGACGACATATAAAAGACTTATTAAGAGTACTAGCCATCAACTGAACTATGATTGTTTCATCAAAATGAAGAAAGTCCGTTGAAAATAAGACAACCGTGGATTGATTGTTCAAGAAGCATTTTTGTTTTTGTTTTGTTCAAAGTTACCAAGAGAACCGTATGTATCAGTTATATCTTAAGTCTTTCATTTGAAGGAATTTCCGTGTAGATTTCGTCAAAACGCGGCAATACTCAGAGAACTGTCAACAAACAATGGAGCTTCAGACTGCTGTTTTATCCTACTTTGGTTTCTCTTACTAATCTTGGTTCGTGATGCTGATGCTTATTTAAAATTGTACCTTTACCTAAGTCGTCTACTGCGACATGTTTTAAATTTAGACCCATTGCTATTACTTCCCCTTTTCTAAAAGCTATGGAAAAGTTACTCTTAATTAATCTTCACCCTTAACTTAAAGCCTTTAATGATCCTAAACAATTCGCCTACAAACACAGCAGAAGTACTTTAGATGCAGTTGCAGTCTTGTATCATAACATTGTCTCCAGCTTAGACAAGGGGGCTAAATTTGTTCGCTGCACCTTTCTAGATTATACATCTGCTTTCGACTCAGTACCTAGGGACATTTTGTTAAACAAGCTTGCTGAAACTCAAACTGACTGTTGGGTTGTCAAATGGCTGCATTCTTATTTCTCAGGAAGAAAGCAGTACACTGTATGTCAGGGAAAGTCGTCCACTTCATTGCTTACTGAGGCTGGTGTCCCTCAAGGCGCTGTCCTTTCTCCTTTTCTGTTTTCTTTCTTCTTGCATGAATTGCCTCACTCTGATGAAATGAACTTTGTTAAGTATTCGGACGATCTAACTATTTCAATGTCTGTTAACTCCAAGCTTGACTGTACTAAGATGAACAGCTTTCTATCAGGAGTCAGCAAATGGTCTTCGTCTAATGGCCTTAAACTAAATCCTTCCAAATTTCAGACTGTTAATTTCAGTTTCCGATGTAAAAGAAAGTTAAATGAAGCCGTTGGTTCCTATGACCCTTGCAAAATTGATGATAGTGAGGATACAGAAATCAAGTCTGAAGTTAAGTATCTTGGGTTAATTCTTTCTTATAACTTATCCTGATCTTCCCATGTCTTAACGATTTCTAAAAGAATATTTCGTCTGACTTTTTACATTGAAAAGAGGTTAAGGCACTCACGCATAACCCAACCCCTCTTCTCACATTTTTTCAACTCATGCATCTTACCTATTCTTCTTTACTCTTCACCCTTATTCTTTCCTGGATTGCTTAAAAACGACTATGTCATACTTTGTAGAATTCTGAAGACTGTCGTTCAGTAGGGCGAGTGGTATCCTATCGCATTGGGCCATGTCGTTGACATTGTCATTGATAGGCCTTTGATGTCATGCAACAAATTTGCTAAAGGAATTTTGTCAGACTGTGAGCATCCAGTTTACTTAACCGCAGCTCCAACCTTGTGTCTCCTCAGGTAATAGACAAGAAGTCATTTCAAAAGACTTTGTGCACTTAAGTCTAAGTATAAAATTTCCGCTATACCATATCTGATGGCACGTATTTTATGTGATGTAAATAGTGTTAGGCATGAACTAACTAACCTTCTTTGCACTACTAAATAAACCATTTTCTCCATCCTTATTCCAGCAAGCTTTATTTTTATTGTACTTCTGATATTTACAATCCTTGCAACTCTTTGTTTTTATTTGTTTATTTTTTCATAAATGTGAACATCCTCAAACTGAATCGACAATACTGTTTGAAACAAACTCACTGTTATTAATGTTATTATTATTATGTTTAATATTCTCAATTCGTACTTAGAATATTTTTGACTTTATATCGTAAACGTGGACAAATTCCTCTGGTTAATTTTGTTTTAACTTTTAATTTCATTCATATTTTGAGTAAATCAGATGCAAGGTGTTGTGACAAATGCTGAGAATTCCATTCTGTATTATGAGTACTGTTTTTGGAATAAAGTAGATTAATATTATTATTATTAAGTGTTTTGTGTTTAAGACGGTAAAAGTAAACTGCAAAAATCTATAGATGAAATAAATAAACATCATTTTAAAATCATGACACCATATCCTCTACTTTATTGTTGATGCGTCAGAAGGTTGTACCTACATCTCAACAAGTGATGATGTTCCCCAGTGTGACTTAGACCCAGCACTCATCCCCTGAATTGCTTCAGATTTACTCCTCCGGAATACACTTCTACTGAAGTGTATACAGATTGTTTTAGGTAAATTGTTTTTGTAATTTCACACTAGTGTAATTCATCAGAACTAACTTTAAATGTTTATAACCTTATCCATTTTAGGTGATTTCGAAACATCTCAAAAGCCAAAATATGTACAAAGTAGTGATTAGAAGATGTTAAAGCTTGAATAGGAAAGGCAAAATACACCTTCAGCACTCTGAAATCAGTTTGGAAATCTTCTGCACCCATTGATTAGGAGGCGGCCTGCTTGAATCAGTGGGCTACCGAAATTGCTTTCCACTAAAATGCAACGGAAGGGATTTGAAAGAGGTTACTTCATTCACTTATCTAGGGAGCATTGTCTCAACTACAGGAGGAACCGACGAGGATGTCAAATCGAGCGAGAATCGGGAAGGCGAGAAACACATTCATCAACCTCAAACCAATCTGGAAATCTTCGTCACTCACTCAGCCTGCATCAACTACAAAATTCGGATTTTCAATACAAATGTCAAGTCAGTCACTTCTTCTATACGGATCAGAAACTTGGCGGCGGGTCACAAAGAATATTTCCAACAGCCTGTTGCAGACCTTTATCAACAGCTGTCTTCGCTGGCTCTATACTGAAGATCAGATGGCCGGAAAGAATCACTAACAAGAAGCTATGGGAACAAACAAAACAAGAACCAATCGCCCAACAAATATGCAGGAGAAAGTGGAGATGGACTGGACACTCGCTGAGGAGGCCGCTGGGTGACATCGCGCATCAGGCCCTCGAGTGGAACGTCCAAGGGTGACATGGAGGAGATCGTGTGAAGAAGAGTTGAAACAGTATGGATTAACATGGATGCAGGTGAAAAGTGCAGCAGAAGACAGAAGCAAGTGGAGATGTGTAGTTGAAGCCCTATGTTCCACTAGGAACCCAAGGGAACAATAATAATAATAAAATGCTTAATTTTATCTGCATTTATCATTGTTTTAATCGTCCAGTTATGTCAGATGACCTATACATGAACTTGGGCGCTGATTTAACTTGCTTCGAAGTAGACGCTGTACAATTCTTCAGTGAAATGAAGACATACTTCTGATTATTACTTTACATGTAAAACTTGTATGAAGAGAAAAGTATTTTGGAATTAAATGCGCTGAAAATTATTGTGCCATATGTTTGCATATTGTCTAAATAAAGCTTTATTATTATCATTTATTATTATTATTATTATTATTATTATAGAACAACATTCGGATTTTCAACACCGATGTCAAGTCACTTCGTCTATATGGGTCAGAGACTTGCACTAGGAGTCACGAAAAGCATTTCGAACTGCCGACGGGAGAATTTTATCAACAGCTGCCGCTTTCGCTGGCTCTATGTTTTTGAGATCAAATGAACAGCCGACGAGAAAGAATTAGCAGCAAGAAACTCTGCTGTGGAATAAACTAAACAAGAACTTATTATTCAACAAATATGTAGGAGAAAATGGAGATGGATAGGGCACACACTAAGGAGACCGTCGACTGGCATCGCGCGCCAGGCCATCTCTTGAGTGGAATCCAAATGGGAAACGACAAGTGGGTCGTCGGTGTGAGGGTGACATGGAGGAGACCGTGCGGTGAGGAGGAGATGAGAGATTATGGGCAATCGTGGACCCAGCTGAAGAGGACGGAAGAGAACAAAACAAGATGAGAATGTCTTGCTGAACCCCTATGTTCCAACTGGAACCCAGGGGAACGATATTAATAATACTGATTAGAAGTTAAATCATCAGGAATGTAATAAACTTTGAATAGACTACTGGAGGACACACCAGACATTTTTATAATTCTTTAATTGTACATTCAAAACGAAATTGATTCAAATATGTCTTACGTGTTAATTTTTGACAAATGAGAATAATTCACTGGCTTCAAATCTAATTGTGTGGCTGATTTCAGCCTGTTATCAATTTCAGTATGAAAACGAGTTAAACAATTTGTAAAACGTTGAAAACTTGGCAATGTTGTTGTTTCACTCAAACTGATCGAATCATTTTTAGCTTGTACAGGTGGATCTATATTTGATGTAATTTGCATAGACTTTCTTGTTTCACTTGACTTTATCATTAAAGAACGACCTGTGACAAGAGAGAAACAGTAAAGTGAAAAGACAATATGAGGCGAAAGCAAAACTATGAAAGCATTCGGTGAGAACTGCTCTCTCTCTCTTCCTCGTTTGTTAATCTCAACTACATTCTATCAAGAAAGAGGTCTTAGAGGATAAATTAGTATCATTTACTCTCGGTCGGTCGGTCGGTTTTCGACATAGAACTTTGCACATATGTGCGGCAGTTCAAGTCGCCACAATCTATGTAGCACACAAAGCAAGAGAAGAAAGTAGAAGAAATGCATAATATAGACAGTAAACAGAGGTGTGAGACAAAGGTATAGTAATAACGAAGAACAATATAGTTTCATTGGAAATCATTAGTCACAAGGAGTGGATGCATCTGCGCCAGCCACTGAGAACGATATTGAGCCATGTCACCAATTGTTTCCAACCATTGGTTTTTACCGTCCCGAGGACCCCAACCAGGAAGTCTACACCTTCCTACGTGGCTTAGACTAACTGTTGTGGATTTCATTGACTGGTGCCATGTTTTCGTTTGACCGCCGCTAGCTCTTTTCCAGCCCGACCCTATGTCAGTTAACACTGCCCATTGTCGAGGAAGGCGATGACTAGGCATACGTAACACATGTCCTAACCATCTCAGTCGATGTAATTTCACAGCCTCGTCGATTGATTTCCCCTCAATGCTTATCTAGCACTCGACTGGAGCCTAACCTCAATATTGCTCACCTTATTAGACCACCTCACACGGGTTTCCTAAGTATGGCTTACTGGTTAGTGTATATATCTGTACACCATCTCTATACACTATTATGCAACATAATTCTATACCAGATGTCAAGAGGTTTTACGCTAAACAAGCCCTAATTCATGGTTCAGTATTCAAAGGATTCACTCATGTGCTTAATAGCTTAGTGTTATAATGACCAACTTCAAAATTGAGTGATCAGCATTCGAATTTATGAAGGGATACAACTTTCTCCAAAGTTGTACTTACACCTGGATGATAAATGTCAACGTCAATGGGATGCAGGCTCTTGACTTCCTGCCAACTGGTGCTTCTATACGCTTAACATCAAATGACAACACACTACAACGTAAAGGAGTGTTTTGGCACTTATCTTAGCGACTATATCGCCTGCATAATGCAAACATTTTAATAGATATACTTAGAACTAAACGCCTACATGAGTTCAAGCCGTAATAAAGCGGGTAAAATCCCCTTAAAAAGTGATACACACTGGATTTAGTATTATAATAATCATAATTATTTTGATAGCGTTATTAGAAGACGGAGATTATCTGAAAAATGTGTGATGTATTTGCACTATACATTTCGAACAATCTGATCACACACTTACTTGTCAAGTCAATATATATATGGAAAAGTTAAATTAAACAAAGTGACAAAAAAGAATTAAGAATAATTAACACAAACGTTTGGTAATCCAATCAAATAAGGATTACCAAGGTAGGTTAAGAGTAATAATAAACTGTTTTGAATACACAAGGGGGGCTTAAGTTTGTGAATAGCTACAGCCTCAGCCTATTTCAGTAAACGCCCTTGACCGTTTTTATAGATGACCTTAAAGGCTGAGTTAACATCAATCTTATGGTTCATCTCGATTAAATGTTTAGCTATAGACGAAGTTGGTAGTCTGACACCTGCATCTATTGGCTTGTCACAATTCATCTGTTTTTCTAACCACTTGGGGATATGCTCTCTCACCCTCACGCGCAAAGTGCGATTACTCCTCCCTATGTATGTATGTCCACACACACACGAAAATTGGTAAATTGTATGGGATGTGATATAATCACTTGTGCACTTTTGAGGTTTCCAGTGAAGCATATTTTTAGCTTTTTCCACAATTACAAGCTGGGCTGCATAGTAGGTTCTACGGATGATGGAATTCAACCTTTGTCTCAAAATCCTACTGTTTATTTCCCCGTTATATGGTAATTTAATGAAAACAAAACACGTAGATCGATCCATAGAAAACCTACTTGGAATGGTCAACTAACAAGCTTCTATAGCTGGGTACCCATTCCACAAAAGCGAAATTTAATTAAATCACTTGCCACCCGCATCTGACGCATCTGCACTCCCGACGCTCTGGAAACAGAATTAGATATGCTAAGAGAAATTTTCATCCAAAATGGATACCCAATGAGATTCATCGAGCTGATCTACGTGTTTTGTTTTCATTAATGCCTGGATGGGGATTATACATGAATATGGTAATTTGATGAAAACCTTTTCCTTAGGGACGGTATGGATTGTAGGTTTATAGGCTAGTTGACTTCTACACCTGTTTAAAAATTTCAAAGGATATCCATTTTCAACAAGAGTATCCATCAATATTTCGTTTTCTTTGTCTATAACATCAGCCGTGCAAATACGCTGAATCCTCTAACATAGACACTTCACCAAGCCTCTCTTATACTGTAATGGACAGAAGCTGTGAAAATTAAGGTATTGATTGCCCTGTCCAAGTGTGCTTTCTGTAGATAGACCGTCTTATTTTGAACAATAACCTCCGTCTTCTAATAACGCTATCAAAATTTATAAAAGAGACTAATTGTTTCACAGCATAATTATGCTGAAATACAAATGACTCACGTGATAATCTTATTTTAGTTAAATGCATTCTACGTATCTGTGATAATCTTGCTGCTCGACGTAATGAGATCATGCTTTCTGAAGAAGTGGTCGATAAAAGTATAGGCAATTCAACACGATAAACATAATTACGACCAATAGGAGATGCTTTTGAATTTTGCACTTCTGTTTCACTATTCGTTTGCTTGTGCTTCTGCATTTTCAACTTCTTCGCCTTATCGTCATCTGGATCATCTGCATCATCATCATCATCACCAATGTCATCGGCATCACCATCATCCTTACTGTCAGTGTCATGCTGCTCATTATCATCTTGTAATGTCTTTGTAATAATAAACAAAATATGCTGTCGTCTACTGTCAGATTGGCTGGTATGCTGACTGGACTGTTCACTTTGTGTCTCTTTATTATTAGTAGTAGTAGTAGTTTTATCCAGTTGTATAATCTCATCGAATAACTCATAATATTTCAATAGGCAGATTGTAAAGACAGTTAAACCATCATCGGTTAACTGATTGATATTTGCACCAAAGTCTAACAATAAATTCACCAACTTCATATTCCATGTCAACTGTACACGTATGAGAAGAGAGAGAGAGACAGTAAAGGACAAAATAAAAGAAAATGAAGTTATTACAAGAAAAGAAAAGAAAATGCACAAGGCAGTGTAACACAGTTGTCATGTGCGGGGTGGGGTGGGGTGGTTGGAGAACTGTAACCTCATACCTATGGGTAAGAATACATTGGCTGTCTAATGACCATTTTAATCACTCTTGTGGTGAGAGCTGGCTGCTAGTCAAAGTTGGTAGACAGTAATTGACGTCAATGTTTATGTCACCAATATTGGTGGTGAGAAAATGATGAGAACAAAGGCTTTGCGTAGGCGGGCGGATACAGTTAGCATATGGATGAACTGACACAGCCACAAAGAGATGCAAGGTTAACTTTCTGTGAGAAACAACCAATCAAAAGACTGTATTTTCTACTAACAATAATCTACAATAATGTACATGAAAATCTATAAATATGTGTTGATTTTCCTTAATAAACGATCTGTTGCCTGGCATTTGTCTTCTGTTGTTACACTTTTAGTTGAAGATTCATTGTCTGTTAAATAATCTATATTCATGGAAAATTCCTATTGGGACACATGGAAAATCGAAACAACTGATGATTCAGAGAAGAGACTCTTTTCAACAACGAATTTATCATCAAGTTGTACAATCGTATATACAGGGGCTTATTTAAGAAAATATATGCGATGGAAGAATTGAATCATAGGAGTGAATACGTGCGTCGGTGGCACAGTGGTTAGGACTCTCGCCGACCATGCAAATGGTCCGGGGTTCGATTCCCTGCCGACGCACACTCGATATCTATGGTCGGCCTGCAAAATTTGGGCTACCGATATCCATGCTGAAAATTCCATACATGTACTAAAAATACGGTGTGGCATCAAGCTGTAATCGAAAAAAAAATTTTTTAAAATAAAATAATAATAATAGTAATAGTAGTATGAAATGCAATTGAAAATAAAATTTTCAAAAGAATGGATACTGAACAAACAGTACACTTTTCGATAACTTCATCATCAAGTTCTACAGTAATATGAACATTATAGTGAATGAGTGAATTAGTGCTATGAACAACATCAATGTTTAAATAACTACAAGTCAAAAATGTATTTGAATTCGTATACAAAATCAAAGATATTAATATCAAGGACAAAACCATGATATGTCTGGTCATAAAATCTTTATTCACAAATGCACCTCCAGTAGAAACAGCTAACTGCATATGTGAACAAGTGGATAACCTGTCGATAAATATCACCATCCATACTGAAATCCTAAAAGAATTGTTATTAAGGTATACCATGAATGTAAACTTCAAATTTGACGGCACACTTTACAGACAAGTGGACGGGGTGGCGATGAACTCCACAATGCGTCCCATTTTGACTGATTTCTTTCTGAGTAAACTAGAAAATGGACCTCTGAACAACCTTATCAGTAAGCTCTCATTTTATTGCCGATATATGAATGATACCTTTATTCTTTGTGATAATGGTTCTGATAGGAGTACAATAATTACTGAATTCAATGAAGTACATTCTGCTACGAAATTCACGTGTGAAGAGGAATTCCAAAACGGAATTGCCTTCCTGGATGTCCTCCTTACAAGAAAACCAGATGGTAGCATAAAAGGGAATTTGCATAGAAAAATTACATGGACAGGACAATATACACACATTTTCACAGCTTCGTTCCTCTCAAGTACAAAAGAAATTTAGTGAAGACCCTCACTCGGCCACAGAGTTAGAGCTATATGCTCAGAAGAAGTAATTGAAGATGAATGCTTTAGCATTGTATATGATACTTTGATTGGAAATAGCTATCCTGACAAATTTATCAAGAAACACATGACAAAGAAAGCGGAAAACGACTACTCACTATCCGTAAACAAGAAGCCTTTATATATACGACTGCAATTCATGGGCGATATACCAAGTGAAATAATTACGAGGAAATTAAGAAAATCAGTCCAAAGAACGTTTAATGCTGGCGAACTACACGTATTATTTTCTACACGACCGATGGTGATTCCTCGACTGAAAGATGAAGTACCTAGACTAGCCACCTCAAATTGTATCTATCAATTCAACTGCGCTTGTGGTGGAGTGAGTTATATTGGCCGTTGCTCTAGGAACTTGATTTTTCGTGCTCGCTCGAGAACATCTCCCAGTATGGCTAAGTGAAGGTGTAGTTAAAACTATTAACAGCTCGATATTAGACCATCTGGTGCAAACTGGTCACAAAGCCAGCGTAGAAGGATCCTTCTCTATTATCTACCGGGTGCCAAATAAATTGTCAAAAACATCGAAGCACCGCACGCTTCAAACAGCAGAGGCTATTGCAATTCGCCTCAAACAACCAGTGCTCTGTGTTCAAAAGAAACAAGTCCAGCCACTACTATTGCCCTGGCCTTCAGTAGAGACTATAAATTCATAAATTCTGTATTATTATTTTCCCTAATATTTCTGACATTCTGTTTATTATTACGTTGATACAATTGAACTGTTCAAGTATTGGTTTGTAGGGATATGGTTGATTGGTTACAGGATTTCATCATGAGCTTACATTGGTTTGAGAACCATTGGAAAACCTGAGAGTACTGGACCGCTGTTTCATCACCCTAGTTTGGGACTCTTCAGCAGTACGCACCCACCGGGGTTCGAACCCAGGACCTTCTGGTTACAAGGCAAGCTCGTGACCATTAAGCCACTGGGACCCGATCCAATGGCCCATGAATTCTAACTTCTGCCAATTCACGATATAGCGCAACCGCTAACCAATGTCTTCGGCGAGTATTTGTCCTCACACCCGACCTGCTGCACCCAACTGGTCACGACTTCCCACTGGAACCCCAGGTAACTACCTACCTCAGGTAGGTAGCAAGTTCTGTAGATTAAACGACCCTGTTGACCCAATTAAACAAAATGATATAATTTACAAAATACCTTGCAATGACTGTGAATGTGATCAACAACATAGGTCATACTAGTAGGTCGGGGGTAGTCAGAATGTCAGAACATAAGAATTTAGCCAAGGTTAGATCAGTAATTTAGAAAACAACTCAGCATTAGCACTCCATGCATTAACACACAACCACACAACAGGGTGGGAGAGGGTTAAAATTCTAAGAAGTAATATAGGTAGGTGGAAATCGAGAGAGATTGATCACTGAATCCTGCCTGGTTCATTGAGTCTACACCCAACACAACACATGCAACAGAAATGAATCAATGCAAATACCACAGATATGGTAGATGTTATTACCACCAGTCAGTCAAATCAGAGGAGGATAATAAAGAATCTCAAAATTCTATTTCAATTCAAGTAAATCGTAACATTCTAACAAATTACTTATTTTGACTATAAAACACTCGTCTTATTTCCCATCTGATTGTATTTGATCAATAACAATCATATTAATATTTCTGAATGTACATTATCCCATAATGATTTTTATTCAAATGTCTAATCATCAATTTCCACTCATGTATATAAATGAAGCGTGAAAGTTGTGTGAGTGAGTGACTTGATATGATTATGAGTGGCAATAGTTTGTGCTCGCGCTGTGGTCATCAGTTAATATTACTTACTGTATAACAAACACTGTGTGACAGTTTATCTAAATAAAATCTTATCTATAATGGAGTTATACTCTACCACCAAAGTGGCCAAGTTTTATACTTATATGAATCAACTTATACAGTTTGAGTAATCAGAGAAAACCAGCCGTCTAAACTCTTTCATCAAAAACTTCTGTTATCTACAAACGAAATCTATTAGATAATCCTCAAATTGTTGTGTAATACTGATTGGCGATTTCCTCGGTTGTATGACAATGCTGCATGTCAAGTAATCCACAACGGGAAACTCAAGGAATCCTTCGAAGTGAAGACGAGAATAAGACAAGCTGGCTGCCCACTAAAATCTCCAATGATTCTCCTGATTGTGGTAGACTGAATAATGCGACAGACAGCGGCGAAAAACGAGGAGACAGGCATAAAATGGACCCACACAAAAATCTTGGAGGATCTGGACTTCGCCGATGATATATGTCTGACTTCCCACAAACTGGAAGATATGTAATTGGAAAGCAACAAGTTGGCAGAAGAAGTATCAAAGATTGGACTTCCTTCAGGTGAACATAGAGAAAACAGAGGTAATGAAGATTCCTGGCCAGCAGCGGCAGCAACAACAACAAACAACAATCAGCCAGCATAAATGGGATGAATCTGAAAGAAGCAACCTCCTTCACCTACCTACCTACCTACCTACCTACCTACCTACATGGGAAGCATCGTCGTTCCAACTACAGGCGGACGGAATTGATGAGGATATCAAAGCGAGAATCATAGGCAAAGCAAGAGAAGCTTACAGTTCTCTCAAGTCTGTGTGGAGGTCAACAGCACTCAGAATGAAAAATAAGATCCAGATTTTCAACTCCAATGTGAAGTAAGTGCTACTCACTGTACGGATCAAAGGGTTGGTGCCGCGTCATGAAGGGCACTTCGAAAAAACTACAGACTTTCATCAATAGCTGTCTTTGCTCAGTACTACTCAAGATCAGATGGCCATAAAAGATCAGCAAATGGGAGGGACCTTTCGCAGTGAGTGAACCAACCCAGGAGGAAACGACTGTGTAACAAATATGGAGGAAGAAGTGGAGGTGGATTGGCTGGTCATACTCTGAGAAAACCATCAACCCTCAAGTGGAACCTGAATGAGAATCGGCTAATCGGTCGCCAGCGCGAGGGTGACATGAAGGAGGATGAGGTGATGTGTAGAGGACATGAAAGCATATGGGCAGACGTGGAACCAGGTGAAAACGTTGGTGGAGAACCGAACGCAATGGAGACATGCGGCTGAAGCCCTAAGTTTCTTTCAGGAACTAAAGGAAACAATAATAATAGTATTGAATAATTTTCTAGTATTGCTGCTGATATAGCTCGCCGGTTCGAATCTCAGAAGGGACATGAGTTCCTTCAAGGTGATTGCAGATGCACCTTGCTGACTGGTGAGTGCCAACTAGCACGAAACCTAGGTCAAGCAAGACTTCCTGTGGCTGATTGTCTCCAACTATCTAATATCATCAAATAGTGAACTATCTTGAAGACAACAGATCTAGGTACATGTGAAACAAGAGGACCTTACTATAGATCAATTCATTTCAAATGTGAAACAGAAGGTTCATAAACATGGAAACTTTCTAAGTTTTAGATTCGTAAAAAGTGGTCTAGCTTCAAAATAAAGACCACATGTGTAATGAACACAACAATCGTCTTCTTTTAATTAGATGCAATTTGATATGACCCGTCTAAAACTGATGGTACGTTGGTGGTTCAATTGTAGAAATGCTTGCCAAACAGTCAAGTGGTCTGAGGTTCGACCCCCCAGCCGACGCACTCCTAAACCTAGCTCAGCCGTCGGCAGTAAGGCCAGTAAAGAGGGAGGTTTGAGCGTGAGGCTAGCAACCCTACTCCGTAAAAATAAAACCACTGCTACAGAAGATTCAATTCTCTAGCTTGGAGCTTCATGTTCCACTTTGAACGTCAAGGAATAAAAAAAGTATAAAAATTATAACAATTGAACTAACAATATATGAAGATCGGTAACGAAAAAAAATCCACCAAAAATCACTGAAACGACTAGAACTTGAAGAATTGAATCCATAACAATAAATGAAACGACGAAAACAAACATATTCAATCGTACCAGATACGTTTCATCTGGATACAAACCTGAAGACGACGGCACTTAAGATTTACTAAAAATATCAAACTCGGATAACTAAAAACTCCACAGATCAACATGCAAATACTTACTGGCATTTCAAATATAAGCATTTCTAGTTAACATAATCAAAAGATTCAAGGATTCAATTAGTTTATATTCCAATATCGATCTTACCACGGAAAGTTCAACAATAGCGTCCCAAGGTATGCGAACGCACGAGTGACCTTCAGCCGACCAATCAGAAAAATGGAGAAGTTTTACACGAAAAATGACGTATATTTACATGAAAATGCATGAAAACACACTAAACAGCTTATCTTTCCCTGACATGACTTAAAAATACAACCCAGTTATAATGAGGAGTATCAGTTGCTAAGTTAGACTAGTTTCTGTACATGTAATCAACGAGGTGACTAAAGATAAGCTGTTTTTGTGAATTGTTTATCTCTCTTATCCTGTTGCGTGGTCCTCCCCAAAAGACCTTGGCTGAATTACTAGGGTTTCCAGTAAGAGGATTGACGACTACATACCAGGAAAATGAGGGTAATAAAACAAATTAGAATAAATAACATTAACTATAAATTTATCCCTAATCGCAATCCTAACCCTAGTCATAACCATTATCCAAACCGTAATTCTAACCCTAATGCTGATTATAACCCTATTCCTAACCCTAACGAGCTATTAACACATTGTCGAAACAGTACTTAAAAACGTGATCTGGGTGGAATTTGCTGTTTGGTTGGTGAATAGCGTTGATATTTCAGCGATGATAATGACAGGTGGCATTAACCAACGACTAACATGCGTTCAAGGTCATTGAAGCGTTCGCATTCCTGGGACGTTATTGTTGAACCTCGCCCCTACCACAAACCAAATCACTGGAAACCAGAGGGCACTGGACAGCTGTTTCGTTAAAGTCCCCAACTCGTCAGCAGGGGATATCCACGATCTGGCGACAGATCAAAATCAGAATCTTCAAGTTGGCAGTCAAATACACTGACGAGTCACTCAGCTGAAATCCAGTGACCTTGGATGTTAAATTATGTGAATTCACAGTATAGCGTTGAGGCGAACCTATCTCATGGATGAGCAACTATTACACCCAAAAGAATATCAGTTTAAGGAGTCACTGGATACCTAGGAAGGACTAAGCCGCTGTTTAGTGCTCCTTGTGTTTTCTATAATCTATAACCACTGTTCGGTTTGTAACCACACCTAAAATGAAATTAATTAATCAGTATCCCGACAAAAATAAACCAAAACCTGAATTGTATATTTGTTTTACTAAATCGAATGGATAAATTATAAACTTTAAATCGATCCACTCAACTACAGGAGGAACGGACGAGGATGTCAAATCGAGCGAGAATCGGGAAGGCGAGAAACACATTCATCAACCTGAAACCAATCTGGAAATCTTCCGCCGTCACTCAGCCTGCATCAACAACAAATGATTCAGATTTTCAATACAAACGTCAAGTCAGTCAGTTCTTCTGTACGGATCAGAAACTTGACGGCGGGTCACAAAGAATATTTCCAACAGCCTGTTGCAAACCTTTATCAACAGCTGTCTTCGCTGGCTCTATACTGAAGATCAGATGGCCGGAAAGAATCACCAACAATCGCCCAACAAATATGCAAGAGAAAGTGAAGATGGATTGAACACTCGATGAGGAGGCCACTGGGTGACATCGCGCGTCAGGCAAGTGCTCGAGTGGAACTCGGAAGGGAAGCGGCGAATGGGACGTCCAAGGGTGACATGGAGGAGGTCGTGTGAAGAGGAATTGAAACAGTATGGACTAACATGGATGCAAGTGAAAGCATCCATGTTAGTCCCAAGCAAAATACTAAGCCGCATCATCCCGGAGAGAATCAAACATGCCCTAAATGAAAAACTTCGACCGGAACAGGCTGGATTCAGGAGAAACAAGTCATGCATTGATCAGATCGCCACATTACGGATCATCATTGAACAAAGCCTGGAATGGCAGTCACCTCTCTATCTCAACCTCATCGACTTTGAAAAGGCCTTCGACAGCGTCGATCGAGAGGTGATTTGGAAACTACTTCGCTACTACGGGGTGCCACCGACAATTATACATTTCATCCAACAGCTGTACGACAATGCTGCATGCCAAGTAATCCACAACGGGAAACTCACGGAACCCTTCGAAGTGAGGACAGGAGTAAGACAAGCTGGCTGCCTACTATCGCCAATGATTTTCCTGATTGCAGTAGACTGGATAATGCGACAAACAGCGGGCAATGAGGAAACAGACATAAATGGCCTCACACCAAAAACTTGGAGGATCTGAACTTCGCCGATGATATATGTCTGATTTCCCACAAACTGGAAGATATGCAAGCGAAAAGCAACCAGTTGGCAGAAGAAGCAGCAAAGATAGGACTTCAGGTGAACATAGAGAAAACAGGGGTAATGAAGATTACTGGCCAACACCACCAACAGCAACATCAACAACAACAGACAACAATCAGCATAAATGGGAGGAACCTGAAAGAAACAACCTCTTTTACCTACCTGGGAAGCATCGTTTCAACTACAGGCCGGCGGAACTGACGAGGATATCAAAGCAAGAATCGGAAAAGCAAGACAAGCTTTCACTACTCCTCAAGTCTGTGTGGAGGTCAACAACACTCAGCATCGAAAATAAGATCCGGATTTTCAACTCCAATATTAAGTCAGTGCTACTCACTGTAGGGATCAGAGACTTGGCCAGCGCATCATAAAGATCATCTCAAACAAACTACACACCTTCATCAATAGTTGTCTTCGCTCAATACTTCGCTCAAGATCAGATGGCCGGCCAGAAAAGATCAGCAACAGAGATCTCTGGCAATGAGCGAACCAACCGAGCATGAACCGATTGTTCAACAAATAGGCAGGAAGAAATAGAGATGGATTGGCTGGCCATACTCTGAGGAAACCATCAAGTGACATCACAAGACAAGCCATCACTTGAGTGGAACCCGAAAGGGAAGCGGCGAGTTGGTCGTCAGTGCAAGGGTGACTTGGAGGAGGTCATGTGAAGAGGAGATGAAAACGTGTGGGCAGACATGGATGCAGGTGAAGACTCTAGCAGAGAACCGAACGCAATGGAGACGCACGGCTGAAGCCCTATGTTCCTCTAGGAATTAAAGGATACAATAATAATAATAATAAATCGATCCGCTTACCACAGCACCAAGCAATCCAAATTGTCCTTGACTATCAGCAACATTTGGATCAACACAAAATTGACTTTTATTCACTTGATTTTCAATTTGTAATAAATTTTTAACTTTATCAAATTGACCATTAAAACAATATTGTATAAATTGAATTGCCAATGTTTCATATCTTCCAGTTGATAAAGGCTGTGTGCTGCTTTCATGTTTCGTTTTTAGTTTATGATGCGTATTAGACTTTTTCATCAATGATTTTTTAGATAATTTATTCCATATAGTTGACCAATTTTCAATGTAAAATGTATTGACTAATGATGAATTGTGTTCACTGGTCCCTTGAATGTTATTCACCTTGTTACTTATGATGTGATCAGTTTCATCTGTTGATGAGCTGGTTAAGTGATGCCATGGTAGATTTACTATTGTACTGCGTAGAAATTCTTGTAAATGTGCAGTTTTTGTTATTTGTGCACGCATATTCACTAGACAGACTGTCTGATTTTGCTGAAATTGTGAACTGATAATAAAGTGAAACAGTAAATGAAATGACTAGCAAATTTATTTTTGTTTGTTTAGCATAAAAAGAAATTTGCATATAGGAAAAGTACATGGACAGGACAATATACACACATTTTCACAGCTTCGTTCCTATCAAGTACAAAAGAAATTTAGTGAAGACCCTCACTCGGCCACAGAGTCAGTTAGAGCTATATGCTCAGAGGAAGCTATTGAAGATGAATGCTTTAGCATTGTATATGATACTTTGATCGAAAATAGCTATTCCGACAAATTTATCAAGAAACACATGACAAAGAGAGCGGAAAACGACTACTCATTGTCTGTAAACAAGAAGCCACTTTATGTACGACTACAATTCAAGGGCGATATACCAAGTGAGATAATTACGAGGAAATTAAGAAAATCAGTTCAAAGAACGTTTAATGCTGGCGAACTACACGTGCTATTCTCTACACGACCGATGGTGCTACCTTGACTGAAAGATGAAGTACCTAGACTAGCCACCTCAAATTGTATCTATCAATTCAACTGCGCTTGTGGTGGAGTGAGTTATATTGGCCGTTGCTCTAGGAACTTGATTTTTCGTGCTCGCTCGAGAACATCTCCCAGTATGGCTAAGTGAAGGTGTAGTTAAAACTATTAACAGCTCGATATTAGACCATCTGGTGCAAACTGGTCACAAAGCCAGCGTAGAAGAATCCTTCTCTATTATCTACCGGGTGCCAAATAAATTGTCAAAAACATCGAAGTACCGAATGCTCCAAACAGCAGAGGCTATTGCAATTCGCCTCAAACAACCAGTGCTCTGTGTTCAAAAGAAACAAGTCCAGCCCCTACTACTGCCCTGGCCTTCAGTAGAGACTATAAATTCATGAATTTGTATTATTATCTTTCCTAATTCTTCTGACATTCAGCTTATTTTTTTGATGATATTGAGCTGTAATCTATCAGTATTATTGATTCGATGTTATTTAAACAACATTAATGTTGTTCATAACACTAATTCATTCATTCACTATAATGTATATATAACTGTAGAGCCTGATGAAGAAGAGGTTATCGAAAAGAGTACTCTTTGTTCAGTATCCACTCTTCTAAAAATTTTAATGGGCATTTTTAATCAGTTAAAACATAAAATATTCAACGTTTTCAGATGAGAATATGGCGACAGTACACAGTGTGTCTAATGCTAAGACATTCTGGACCAAAATTTTGTACCTGTCAGTGGTTGTCGAAAGGATATACCTGCAACCTCGACAAAAAAACTGACGAGTCCTAAGAAGTTCCAACGCATCCTCTTAAAATGCACCTTTTTGATGAGTCATGTGCACTGGTAACCACATTGTAGACTATACTGATAGGATAGGATACTGGCTACTCCCTAATTTTTTTAACAGTAAATAAAATCCAGTGAAACCCTACCAGGGATGGGTGTCTCTAAGTTCTAATGCGAAGTCGTAGACGGTTGGAGTGAAGCTATTTCACGAGCCCATAGAATTTAGAATTCACTGGATCCCAGAGTAGTGATTATGTAGTCAGCAGAATCGTGTCGTGATCTAATATTTATTGTTTCGATAGATGATGGGGCCACTGATGCACACTGATGATGAGTCCGAGATTTGGGAAAAATAGTGATTATCTAACTCAGAATATTGTTGCCTGACAAAATCTGCCGATCGATAGCTGCTGCCTTGCACATAGCAATGACCCAACATGCTACACTGGCTGGAACTATTGTTCTGCAGGTCTCAACATACCAGGAGGGTTGTTAGGATAGCAATTAGGCTAAAAGCAGTAACCGGCATTGTGTAAGATTTTTTGTTGTTACATTATGTTGGGGGTCTGTGGGCGAAGTTGTACTGCTGAGGAACAGGGATGTAACAGCAGTGAGGTGTTTCCCTCAGATGACCAGCATGCCAGCCAGCTATGCTGTGTCTCCACTCCGGAGAGAGAGGGTTAGTAAAGGTTGACCCCAACGATTGTACATCCCGGCTTACCCTACGGTGGTCCGTAACCGATGGTAAATCTACTAATACGGAACCAAACCTAAAAGCCAGTTCATACAGGCAGTGTGTGTGTGACAGACTTCAAGCAGTTTTCCCATGCGCTCTGAGGTCACGTAACACTAACCCAAAGAATAAATCAACTTCCACGGTGATGTGAGCGGCCGGGAAGTAATAACTGCCCACACACTTCCAAAAGCACACTAAGCTCTCCTGACAAAATCTATAAAATATCAAAAATCTAATTTCACTCCAACTTAAGAAGTTTATGGGCACTAGACTGATCTGAAAAAGGTTTCTACTACAAAATGACATCTCAGTTAATGTACTACTTTAAATCAACAAAAAAAATAACAAAATTCAACAAATTTTTATCCCCAGTTTAGAGTGCCATAGAAGTTTGAACAAATAATTACACTTGATATCCATCTATTTCATTAGCTTTCATTCAGCAAAACAATCCCAATGTAGTCCCTATGATTAAGTTTGAAACAACAACCTGGATTCTGAAAGGACTTGTGCCTTATCACTTTAAGTAGCTGTTGTAACGACAGAAAACAGGGGTCAGGCAACAGATCGTTTATTGAGGAAATCAACAGATATTTATAGATTTTGATGCACATTATTAATCGTTATTACTAACAGAGAAACAGCGTCTTCTGATTGGTTGTTTTCTCACTGGAAGTTATTCTGTCATCTCTTTGTGGCCATTTCTTTGAAGGTCAGACCATATATCTGCGAACCGTATCCGCCCACGCTAAGTCTGCTGTGATTGGTTGTTGGATTAGTTTTTGTTCTTGTTCTTTTCTCATGACCAAGATTTGGGACGTAAACATTGACGTAAATTGCTGCTGTCTACCAATTTTGGCTAGCAGAAAGCTCTCACCACACTGTGACTTCATATTCATTATGTATGACCTAGTAATCTATTTCCTCCTCAGTTGTAACTGCAGTATTTCAGTTGAAGAGGGAAAGTCTTAACACTGACTGGTTGAAACTGTATCTTTTATTTATTTTAATAAGCTATAAGACAGGTAAAAGTTATCAAAACTTGTGGCGTAAAAATTCAATAGATTAAGTGAATATCATCATTTCTGCATTCATAAGAAGACAAGGACACAAATGAAGTTTTTAAAGTACTTTGGATGAAAACACGTGATGTTAGAGTTTGGATGAATATAAGATAAAAATGCCACTACTTTGTGGTGAGCGCCAGGCCATCGCTCAAGTGGAATCCCAATGGGAAACGACAAGTGGGTCGTCGGTGTGAGGGTGTCTGTCTGTCTGTCTGTTTTCGACATAGAACTTTGCATTGATGTGCGGCAGTTCAAGTCGCCACACTCCCTCCTTGTAGCACACAAAGCGAGAGAAGAAAGTAGAAGAAATGCATAATATGGACAGTAAACAGAGGTGTGAGACAAAGGAGTAGTAATAACGAAGAACGAACAGTTTCATCGGAAATCATAAGTCACAAGGAGTGGATGCATCTGCGCCAGCTATTGAGAACGATTTTGAGCCATGTCACCAATTGTTTCCAACCGTTGGTTTTTACCGTCCCGAGGACCCCAACCAGGAAGTCTACATCTCCCTACGTGGCTTAGACTAACTGTTGTGGATTTCATTGACTGGTGACGCCATGTTTTCGTTTGAGCACCGCTAGCTCTTTTCCAGCCTGGCCCTATATCAGCTAACATTGCCCATTCTCGAGGAAGGCGATGACTAGGCATGCATGCGTAACACATGTCCTAACCATCTCAGTCGATGTAATTTCACAGTCTCATCTATTGATTTCCCCGCCTTACCTAGCACTCGACGCCTAACCTGAATATTGCGTCGGTGGCATAGAGGTTAGGACGCTCGCCGGCCATGCACATGGTCCGGGGTTCGATCCTCGGCCGACGCACTCCTTTACTTCGCTAAGCCAGAAATAATCCTGGTGAAGAGGAAAGGTTGGGCATGAGGCTAGCAACCCCATCCTGTAAAAATAAATACTGCTACAGAAACTTGAAGCCACCAGCTTGAAGTCCTAAGTTCCACTGGGGAACGTGAAGGTGTGAGGGTGACATGGAGGAGATCGTGTGGTGAGGAGGAGATGAGAGATTATGAGCAATCGTGGACCCGGTTGAAGAGGGCGGAAGAAAATAAAACAAGGGATTAATAATAATGGTAATAATAATAAAAGCTGTGATAATTGATTCGCATGACATTTAGAGTTTAGAACATTAGGCTGCAATAATCAAAGACCATTAGAAACTGAACAGCTTCATATAAACAATGAATGGCGTTTCTTTAGCTAACTTCATGAATTTTTCGAATGAGCGCATTTATTAGGCCTATTAACAAATAACAACTAATAAACACGTAGTTCTTCTAAAAGGTTCTTACATTCTAGGCAGCCTGCTTAAAACTTGAGCTACTGAGAAACCTCCATCAGTATATGTATTGGCATATAATTTCTCTTGTTCATTTCGTTTAAATCTAGTAAAATATGACCTCTATAAGTGTCCGTCACTCTGGCGTGTATTTCAAACATTCACAACCTGCAGTTTCGCAAGTTTCTACTAAACATGCGGTGAAAAGCATTATCCTCGGTGGTAGCTTATGCCAATACATGAGGTGACTGTTCCTGAGTAGTGTCTTTCTTTCAAAAAAATGTTGTACTCCTGAACTTTTTATACAATTGGCATTCAACAAAATGTAGTCGTGTATTTCTTGAAGGAGAAAAAGAAGAGATATCATCATAGTGGTGGATTGGTTTGCACTTCAGGTTAGATAAAAACTGTGTCACATGGTCTACAGTAAAAGTTTCTAAACAAAGGAGCACAGAGAAGAACTAAAAAAAGACAACTAATAAATGACGAAGGACTGATAATCGCAAAGCCTGATTAAGGATCAGGAGTAGTCCTCCTCGATAGAAGTGACTATATTAAAAAGACACACGAAAGTTCCAAAAACTTGAGGAGAAGAAGAAAGATTTGCATAAAAAGAAAAAAATAGAGAGTGAATTAACCAGACGTTTGAAAAAAACTAGGGGAGGGGGAGGGAAGAACAGATATTTCCCGAAAGTTTATTTGAAGAACTCAGACCGATGGGCACATGCACACGCCAAGATTATACGGCCTACCCAAAATACATAAACCGAGGGTACTATTATGCAAAATTCCCCCCACCATGCTTTAGCAAGGTGGCTAGTCAGTATTCTCGAGCCATTGCATGAAGAAATAGTGAAACATAGCGTGAAAGATGTATTCGAATTCGTAGAAAAAATCAAAAATAATAATATCAAGGATAAAACTATGATGTCTTCTTTATGATAACATCTTTATTCACAAATGTACCTCTAGTATTAAAAAAAAATTGTTAGTATTAAATCACTGTGGGATAATTAAAATAAACTTATCTAATATGGAATTACATTCTACCACAGTGCCCAAGTTCTAAACTTACATTTATAATCTATTAACAGTTTATTTGTAAATAACTTCAGGAATTCTGATCTAAACGGCGGCCTGCTTAAACCTTGGGCTACCAAAATTCTCCGTCACTTATATTGCATCTGATTAATTGGATTTATTTTGTTTTAATTACTCAATTATGTGTCCAAATCGTATTACTTACTCTCGCGATTATTTAAAGTGTTTTCAACCTGATGATTTACGAGTTTCTAATAACCTTAAGAAAAAGCGTCATGGTGGGTGGCAACGATCCTTAAAGTGCACTCCAATGCATCAGATGACTGTTCCTGTGATTATGAGCACAAATTGCAGGTCATTATCGAACAAGATTAATTACTTGGATGCTCTATTATGTTCAAATATTTACCGTAATACAGGTGTAATAACGCTTCAAGAAACTTGGCTCCACGATTCATATGATGACAATTTAATCTGCCTGAATGGTTTCAATATCTACAGACAAGACCGAAGTAGTTGAAGGAAGAAGCGAGGTGGTGGTGTTGCTACTTTCATCAATTTTCAACGGTCTGTTGCCGACAATGTCTGCTTTAAATTCTCGAATGATAGTATTGACTGTATAATTGTTAAATGTCAACCTGAACACCTGTCTTTGTACAATTTCATTTTTATCACGAACACTTATGCCGCATTTTCTCATAGATCCATGATGAATATTAAACAGGCGAATGCTAAATTTCCTTTCTTTAGTCACCATAGCAACCTAGGAAACAGTAAAATAGTTATTAACATATGTGTAAAATTTGGGCACTGTGGTAGTAAATAATTCCATATAAGTTTGTTTATTAGATGTATCACACAGTGAAACAGTATAATTACATACTGGATGACAAGGTTTCAACAAAATTTATTGTTCAAAATCATATCTTCAATTATAATCACACGACTTCGAAACTTGAGTTTTATAGTTTTCTTCGTTCTCTCCTATTTGTCGTCGTTGGGGTAGTATGATTTAAATCATCAGTAGTACTTCCATACAAAGAAGGAACCTCCAAAATCTTAGGCAGGAATGAAAGTAGTATTTAAACCCACAAACTCAATTAGAAACATGCTTTGTCGGTTACAGGATCCTGTGGAGCCTCTAAAACAAAGAACAATTTAGTTTATCTGATACCCTGCCTGAGATGACTGTCAGGTCAAATGCATAGGTCAAACTATTAGAACACGGGCAGTCAGACTAGCCAAACATAAAAACCTAGCAGAGAAATCTAGATTTTCTACAGTTTGGTTTGTAAGGGTTAGTTATGCTTACCTTGTAACCGGAAGGTCCTGGGTTCGAATCCCAGCGGATGCGTACTGCCGATGATTCCCATACTAGGATGAAACAGCTGTCCAGTACTCCCTGTTGCTGGTTTTCAATGGTTCTCTAACTGATATCAATCCGTGATCAGCTCGTAAAAATCTAGATTAGTTGACCCGAATAAGATAAGAAATCTGGAGAATAGTTCAGCCGTAGATAGCACTCACTACATGCAATTACACATAACCATACAATCGGCTGGATTGGATAAGATGACAGTTTTAAAATCTAATGTAACAGCTGGGTGGAGGGAGACATTGATAACAACAGAAGCTTTGTTTATCGAATCAACTGCGAATCAACACGTGTGATAGGAATGATTCAACACCTGTCCCTGTCCCAGATATCTGGAAAATTCTGCTACCCCAACGACGACAAATAGGAGAGAACGAAGAAAACTATAAAACTCAAGTTTCGAAGTCGTGTGATTATAATTGAAGATATGATTTTGAACAATAATAAATTTTGTTCGAAACCTTGTCATCCAGTATGTAATAATACTGTTTCACTGTGTGATACATCTAATAAACAAACTTATATGGAATTACTTACTACCACAGTGCCCAAATTTTACACATATATTAATAACTATTTTACTGTTTCCTAGGTTGCTATGGTGACTAATGAAAGGAAATTTAGCATTCGCCTGTTGCTTGATATTCATCATGGATCCATAAAAAATTGTCAAGTAAGCAGAATAGACAAAAAGAAAATCGTGAAACAAAAAATGAATTATTGATCACTCACTCGAATAAAGAATCCTGTTTGAAATTATTCTCATAGTGAGTTTGTTTTATTGTATCAAATAATGGATTTATAATTAGATTATTTTTTAAATTTTTATTCCTTTTTGAATCTTTTTCTTGATCGCATCTTTTCTTATTCATTGAATAAAGTAAATCCTCATTTTCACTGGAATTTAAATTATCATTTTGTTGGGAATTGGTAGATTTTAAAATTTGTAATATATTCTTTAAACCATTGAACTTTACTATAGATGAGTCAATAAATGTAGGTAAACAACGGATTAAATGTTCAAAACTCTGGTCAGCGATAAACTTTTCAAATAATGGACTCTTCATATTCCATACTTGAAATTTTGTAGGTAAATTACTGTGTTTTAATATCTAAAATAAAAGGGGCGGTGGGGGGGAGGGGAGGAGAAACATTATTTAATTATACTGCTTTGATGAGAAATCACAAAAAGAATATTGTTTCGATAAAGAAAGGAAGACGAAATTTGCAGTATAGTGATATGATATCATTCTATTTCACAGGTTCTCATCAGCTGCAGACTACCTGAAATTACAATGGTTATATAAATGATAATAACATACTTTAATGTTTGAGTAGTAGTAGTACAGAAGAGATAAAATTGACGCATCCAAAAAAGAATGAAAGCATTACTACTATCGCCGATATGTTGATGACACATTTGTTGTTTGCAACGACATGGATCACGCATCGGCATTATATGATCGCCTAAATGAGATCCATCCAAATATCAAATTCACCATGGAATATGAACATAAAAATGAGTTCAATTTCCTGGATCTAAATGTAGAAAGAACAAACCAAGGTACGATAGAAAAGTCCATCTATAGAAAAGAAACCTGGACTGGGTTATATCTACACTATAACAGCTTTTCTCCCATAAGCTATGAACGTGGATTAGTGAGGACTTTGTACGACAGAGCCAGGAAGCTATGTTCACCAAACAAGGTCGAAGAAGAACTAGATTTCGTCGAGAAATGCCTGAGGGAAAATGGATACCCTAAGGGATTTATACAGAAGTATAGCAGAGAAAAAGATAAGAAAGAAAAACATCCAACTGTAGAAAAGAAAAAAGTGTTTATTTGTCTCCCATTCAAAGGAGATGCAGTGTCACAAAAGATTGCCATAAGAATGAAAGGAGCAATAAATAGAAGCTTCCCGGCAGCAAAACTCATAACAGTATACAACACCACTCCTTCTATAATCCACTCAAAACTGGATAAATACCCTGCTGATGTCACCTCCAACTGCGTTTATGAATTTACGTGCACTTACGGGAGCAAGTACATTGGAAGGACAGAAAGAAGGGCTTCTATCCGGTTTTCTGAACATATTCCAAGAAACCTATGCCTGAAAGGAAGCAAATATTCTCAGAGTGCAATTACCAGACATATTGTTGATACCGGACATCTTGTAGAGATTTCTAAGTCCTTCAAAATATTAAATAGACAAAGGACATCGAATTTACCACGATTTGCCGAAGCGATCGCAATCAAACGATTTAAACTAGACTTATGCATACAGAAGGAGAGTGTGATTAACCTCTCACTACCTTGGTAACTGAATTTTGATTTTGATTACAATAATTAGTCATCTGATTCAGTGATCTCAACTCACTGAACAAATCTCAATCTCATAAACTGTAACCGCCTTTGTTTTTTGAGTTGCTATGTGAACCTACAAGCTAACAGTGTTTCTGTTAATCAATTTTTTCTGTTTTCTGTCTTACCCCTCCCCCCTCTTTTCAACTTTGAAAGTGTATAAATTGATGATGATAACTTAAACTAAAAATTGTAATGCTTTCATTCTTTCTTGGATGCGTCAACTTTATCTCTTCTCTAATACTACTCAAACACTAAAGTATTCAGGATTTTCATCATGAGCTGACATTAGTTAGAGAACCATTGGAAAACCTGGGAGTACTGGACAGCTGTTTCGCCCTAGTTTGGGACTCTTCAGCAGTACGCACCCACCGGGATTCGAAACCAGGACCTTCTGGTTACAAGGCAGAAGTTAGAATTCATGGACCATTGGATCGGGTCCCAGTGGCTTAATGGTATACGAGCTCGCCTTGTAACCAGAAGGTCCTGGGTTCGAATCCCGGTGGGTGCGTACTGGTGAAGAGTCCCAAGCACTGGGACGAAACATTTGGTTGTCCAGTACTCCCAGCTGGGTTTCCAATGGTTCTCTAACTAATGTCAGCTCATGATGAAAATCCTGTAACCAATCAAATCCCTACAAACCAACACTTGAATATTAAAGTATGCTATTATTATCATCTATATAAGCATTTCAATTTCAGGTAGTGGTGTGCAGCTGATGAGAAGCTGTGAAATAGAATGATATCATCTTATACTGCAAATTTCGTCTTCCTTTCTTTATCGAAATTTATCAAGGGAACCAATTGTTAGAATATTGTTTGCTGATTTATGGTTTTTTAATTCAATATCACATGGGTTATGCGTCGGTGGCATAGCGGTTAAGGACGCTTGCCGACCATGCACATGGTCCGGGGTTCGATCCCCGGCCGACGCACTCCTTTACCTCGCCAAGCCAGAAATAATGCTAGTGAAGAGGAAAGGTTGGGCATGAGGCTAGCAACCTCATCCTGTAAAATAAACACTGCTACAGAAACTTCAAGCCACTAGCTTGAGGCCCTATGTTCCACTGGGGAACGTGAAGGAAAAAAATATCACATGGGTATTTCTACTCACCAGTCAGTAGTTCAGTGGTAGAATGCTCGCCGACCACGTACCTGGTCCGAGGATCGATCCCCTACAGATGCACTCCTGAATGTCGCTTAGCCGATAGTAAGGTAGATAAAGAGGGAAGGGTGAGTTTGGGGCTAACATCCCGTAAAAGTAAAAAACAACCCACTGTTTCCAAAATTCGACACTCTAGCTTGAAGCCTTATGATACACTAGGAACGGAAAGGAATTACATAAAATAATAATTATAATAATAGGTATTTCTACAAGACATTAAAATTTCCCATGTGATGTGAATTAAGAACGCAATAGACCTGCTTCCATGACTTCTTTATAAAGCTGTACAGTCATTCAGGGTTTTATGTGTACAATGACAGTCCTACATAGGTTGCATTAGTAGAAAATTGTCTAGACGCGATGAAGAAGATATGTAGTTCAGGTGGATGATTTCGATGTGGTTGTGTTCTCTGAGCTGGACAGTTTATTTGCGAAGCTTCTGTTGACCGACTAAGCAGCATCTTCAGAGAATACTTCAATTTGTTGAAGTGAGCTCATTTCGACTGGGACAGACAGAGGAAACACCAAGAATGCTAGAGAAATTTTAGAAGCCCGCCTGATATTTCGGTGAATCGTTAATCAACAGGCACATCGACAAAGACAAAATTTACGAATCTATAAGAAGGAAATCTCATACATTAAAGGGTCAAAGTTCAAGTCAAGGAAACAATCAACACCAATACGAATACAAGTAGACTAGAGGGTGTGAAAACACGCAAAAACAACCAATCACAACATTAAAAGTGGCCACCAGTAGAGATGGCTAGTGAACTCATGGAGAAATTTTAAAGCTCATTCCAACAAATTGAAGTATGCTCTGAATATGTTGCCTAGTGGTGAGGCAATGAAAGCTTCGCAAATAAACTATGCAACTCAGAGAACACAAACACATCAGAAATTCGCGAAATATACCCATTAAGACATTGAAATAAGAACAAATTAGTTCAGCGAAGAGTCTCTTTTCGGCGAATTCATTCACTTAGCTGTACAGTCGCAAATATATATACAATTATTTTGTGTGTGTGTGTGTACATTAGGTTTGTCAAAATCAAAATAACAGTTAGTGTGGGTTGTTGATTATATCATCAAGATAATGAAGAAGTTAAAATGTGTGATTAATACTCAAAGTTGTAACTAAGTGGGGTGAAGATTGGTAAGATGTGAGTAGAGTTACATCATCAAAATAATGAAGTTAAAATGTGTGATTAATACTCAAAGTTGTAACTAAGTGGGGTGAATCCCTTCGGGATACCTTCGAATTCATCGATTGCATCAAAGATGTTAAAGTGGGAGACAAACGTATGATTTCACTCGACGTCGAGTCTCTCTTTACAAACGTCCCTATCACTGAGACGATTTGTTTTCTATGCAAATACTTGGAAGAAAACAACCTGGATATTGGAATACCTACCACCAAGCTAAAAGAACTCCTACTCAGATGTACCTTAAATGTCCAGTCTCACATCTTACCAATCTTCACCCCACTTAGTTACAACTTTGAGTATTAATCACATATTTTAACTTCTTCATTATCTTGATGATATAATCAACAACCCACACTAACTGTTATTTTGATTTTGACAAACCTAATGTACACACACACACACAAAATAATTGTATATATATTTGCGACTGTACAGCTAAGTGAATGAATTCGCCGAAAAGAGACTCTTCGCTGAACTAATTTGTTCTTATTACATCAGAAATTGACAATAAATCAGACTTCCTCGTTTTTTGTAATGACGGACAAATAAGTAAAGAATGTAAGACTTTTAAGTATTGGTTTTGTAGGGATTTTGTTTGATTGATTGGTTGAAGGATTTCATCATGAGCTGACATCAGTTAGAGAACCATTGGAAAACCTGCAGGGAGAACTGCTGCTCACTAGCAACTTGCGTTATTCAGGTAGGTAGTTACCTGGACTTCTAGTGGGAAGCCGTGACCAGTAAGGTACAGCAGGTTTAAAGTGAGGCAGTAACTCATCGAAGAAGACATTGCGAAATGGTCACTATATGGAATGAATTGACAGAAGTTTGAATTCATGGGCTGGCTGGCCATTGGATTGGGTCCCAGTGGCTACTGAATGGTCTAAGAGCTCGCTAGCCTTGTAACCAGAAGGTGCTGGGTTTGAACCTCCTGTGGTGAGTGCGTACTGGTGAAGAGTCCCAAGCACTGGGACGAAACATTTGGTTGTCCAGTACTCCCAGCTGGGTTTCCAATGGTTCTCTAACTGATGTCAGCTCATGATGAAATCCGCCAAGCAATGTGAGACTTTATGAATAGGTCAAGCAGATATCGATAAACATATCAATAGTTAAAAGTTTCATGGGATAATGTGATGACTTCACTCATTTACGCATTACTCTCCACTACTGTACTTTATCTCAGGTAGATTTTACAAAAAATGCTTTCAAATTTCTTCGAGGTGGGATATTAACAGGATTTAAAATGAACTGTTCACAAATAAAATCATATTTCTTTGCAGATCTTTTACGAAATATTAACCAGAGTTGTAATATGATTGAATAAGAATCAGAAATGCCCTGTTATATCTTAGTTACTCTGAACAGATTTTTCATTTTCGAAGA